TCACTAATTTAAAATGTGATGTACAGAAATATGTGTGAAAACGCTTTTGTTGTATTTATCACTAGAAATCATAGTAAAAAAATTCGACTATGTTTGGCCTCTAAGCTGTGACGTATTGTCGCACTTTGGTCAATGTTGCCACTCTTTTGCTTGTTTTTGTGAGGGCGACAATGTCCCTTCTAGGATTCCGTACAATTATGTTGGTTGGTTGTTGTTAAACGCCGCACTCAGCAATATTCCAGATATATGGCGGCGGTCTGTAAATAATCGAGTCTGGAGCAGACAATCCAGTGATCAACAGCATGAGCATCGATCTGCGCATTTGGGATACGATGGTCAACCAAGTCAGTGAGTTAGTCGCCTCTTACGTCAAGCATGGGTTACTGAAGACTAATTCTAACCCGGGAGTTCACGGGTCCCTTACAATAATACGACATCGATTGACTTTAAGCCGTCTACTAAGTACATTGTTTGTTAATGAGTCTACCATTCACTTGGGGCGACTATTGAGGGGGAAACAACTATTGTAATAGCGATAGTCTATTGCAACATACTATTGCGATAGCGATAGTCTATTGTGACCAACTATTGAAATACTATTGCAATGGGTTTTTTCTCCTTGAAGTTCAAGTAGTTTCAGTCTCCTTTAATAACTGACAAGAAACGTGAAACCCCGATCAAGTAAACAGTTAAAACATAAGCTCAATGAAGCTGCAAGTCTTCACCCAAACAATAAAAAATACACAACAACATAAATATTTGTCAACAGAAGTCAATTACTAAACTATCGGTAGTCACACATACTATCGATGCATCGATAGTCTTTTGCTTCTACCATCGATTAATTGCTATCGGAGACTCAACAATTGCAATCCATCGACAGTTCGATGCATCGTTACAGCTCTACCGTTCACACCCAGAATAATCACATTGACAGCCTGTAATTGTCCTCCCACATGCATACTTCTTAATCTGCTGATGTTCTATTTATAATATCATGATTGTAAAGACATACCTTTTTTTACATGAATTTGTAGAAAGAGAGTGATTTAGACTTTGAATGGTCTCAGAATCAGAAAGCGCGTTATCTGTACATGGTGATTTTATTTATAAACTGTTAGCTATTATAGTTCTAGGGTGAAGAGTAGATACAATCTATGACTTGCCCTCCAAGTAATCTCTGGGTAAAGCAGAGTCCTTTGTACGATTCCCGTTTATGAATCACTATTAGTAATTATATGACGCTTCATTAAATCTTCGTAGAAAGATTGCCGGGCTGTAACAAGAAATTGTGAATGAGTGAGCTTAGTTTTACGTCACACTCAGCAATAATCAAGCTAAATCGCCGCGATCTGTAGATAATCGAGTCTAGACCAGACACTGCAGTGATCAACAGCACGAGCATCTATCTACGCAATTGGGATACGATGACGTGTGTCAACCAAGTCAGCGAGCCTGACCACCCGACCCCGTTAGTCGCCTCTTGGGACAAGCATGAAGATCAATTCTAACCTGGATCTTCACGGGCCACAGAAACTTGACACTTCACAATTTTCTTATCTGACCAAAGGATAAAGACCCTTATATCAATGAGAATGTTGATGTTGCTTTTCTGTACTGGTGGACGGTAAAGGTGAGGTGAGGTGAAATTGGGTTTTGCGTCGTGCTTGAGAATATTTCGCTCATATGACGACGTGCATGCGTGTGTACGTGTATGTGTGGCTGCTTGTACTAGCCCAGACTTAAGCTGGTTTTAAAGTGCTAGCCAAATGAGATACTATACCGTAGTGAAGCATGAATACCCCACTCAGACACATTATACTGACTCCTAGCCGACCAGTCCTTGTACCCATTGATGCCGAGCGCCAGGCAGGGACCAACAAGTACCATATCTTAACGTATTTTGGTATGACGCGGTCAGGGATCGAACCCGCGAATTTCCGCTCTCCGGGCGGACGCTCTAGCCACTACACAACGGAGGCGGTCTGGACGGTAAAGAAATGAGTGTGAACCAAGTTGCCATATCAAACAGGTTTAACAAGGAAAAATCCTCTGAACGATCACTGCATCGATGTTATGTTCAACGCTTAATTTCCACAGGCCCAGACTTCAGACCACTGGCCTATAGAGCATAACATTACAACAATACGATTACTGATTAAAGTAACGTATGTTATTTCATCATATAAAACTTTCACAGCTGTAGTAAATAGTTTTTAGGGTCGACAAATTGTTTTTCTTAAATCAGTGAGTGAGTGAGTTTGGTTTTACACCGCTTTTAGCAATATTCCAGCAATATCACGGCGGGAGACACCAGAAATGGGCTTCACACATTGTACCCATGTGGAGAATCGAACCCGGGTCTTCGGCGTGACGAGCAAACGCTTTAACCACTAGGCTACCCCACCGCCCCTTTTCTCAAATCAGAAAAAGGAGAACATACAAGAATAACATGGCACTCATTTTCAACTAGATAGACAATATCTACATTTTCTGGAACGATACCTGCGTCTCCCAATTTCGATCATTGGTGGCAATGCTATCAGAAGAACATCATCCCTGCTGAGCCTTCAGTTTGATGAAGTTGGCGTTAGCACTAACACAGTACCGTAAGGGCTATGACGAGTTCCCTCGATCAAATATTGGAGACGATCAAATATTGGCGACCAAGAACATGTAGAGGGCGTCCTGGAAAATAATAATTTCCCAGCCAACAATTTCACGTTGTCACAACGTTACGCTTCGTTGTTACAACGTATTCTGTAGACTCCCATTTACTTTGTCACAACATTGTGGCCTGACGTTGTGATACGTCGCCACAAAGTTCCGTTATTTGATGCTAACGTATTTTACATTGTCTTAACGTTCTGTTTAACGTTAATAGTTGAATACTAGTAGTTTTCCCAGTAGTGAACTGAGTACCTATGAAACAAAGCAGAAATTCACTTCACTGTTTGTTCGTCAATTTGCATGTTGTTTTAGTCGTGTGTGTTCTGAAACTGTAGCTAAATAGTGAAGAAAGAACCTTAAAGTGAAACGTTTTACAGAAAAACCTATCGTGACACCAAGTTAAAAGAAACGTTGTTATAACGTTGTGAGGAGCCCAAAGCATAACGTTTCCTCAACGTAAATCTGCAACGTTGTTATTACGTTGTGACATAACCTTATAAATTGACGTAATACTAACGTTGTTACACCGTTGTGTCATGACGATACCAATCTAAAACCTTCCCACAACGTTGCGAAACGTTGCGTGTTAGCTGGGTGTAAAGTTCTTGGAATAGGCCCGTATATAGTCTCAGATGTATCCAGGCCAACACACCTGACCTTTTCGTGTTTGATAAATCAAATGGAGTCATTTGTAAAATTATCTGTCCCGTTTGACACCAGTGTGACCGACAAAATTCAGTACAAACACAAGTATGTGGACCTGATTTACGGGCGTCCAAAGTCCCAATTAGTCCGTCTCCCTAATGTTCTTGGTGCCTTAGATTTGGTAGTACCCGGTTTTGCTGATAGGAACATATCCCTTTGGACACGCTGGATAATGCACAAGGCTGCGGTGGTTGGAGTCTTCACCTTCTCCGAAGTGTATTTGCTAGGTCCGACTGGGCAGCGTTTTCTTGGTGAAGTCTCATTCGCTGTCTTGAGCTTATAATGAGCCAAACCAGCCTGACTATGTCAGGCCCATCCAAACCCTCTTTGCTTGCATTTGTTTCTTTTCATCTCTTCATTAATGTCACTTGTACTTCGTTATATTAGACTCATATCGATGGATTCAATGTATGATTTCAGAAAGAAATACCATGAAATTTTGAACAAGCACTTGACACTAAAGTTCTTAATCAATATAGTACAGACGCCAACGGCACGTGCCAGTCATTACTCTTTTGTGAATTATCGGTTTGCATGCATAACTGCACAATAGAAGCGAAAAAACACTCTCCACATCCAGAAGAAAGTTCTGCTAAAAGCAGTGTCCATTGTACAATTGTGACTTTATCATGAGCAGATAGTTCTTTCAGCAGTATGATATTGTTTGTAAACAAATCGGGTCTGAACCAGACAGTCCAGTTATGTCACCATGCGATACGATGACAGAGCATGTGTTTATGAATCACGATGAAATAGTGATGACACCAGGTGTCCGCGAAAAGGTGCCCGTATCCTGCCTCAACGGTGTCACCCGTCATAAACATATGCTAAGTCTAGGCAACTGTTCACTTGAAATAAATCGGGAACGTATGGTACATGTCAAAGTAGGTAATCGCATCGGACATCATTTTTGTCACTGATGCATCCAATTTGGAAATTTCCTCCACATGCCTAACATAAAACTTCTTGAAAGCTTTACTGAGGCCTTGTAACCTTGATCAAACAACTGAACAAGAGTGATATGACGCTCTTTGAAATCCTGATATAAAGAGCACGCTTGATTGCACCTCAAAAGTTGTGAAATGTCAACACCAAAGGCTTGAGCTGTTGGAATATTGCTCGTCATGAAAGGGAAGTTTATTGGAAAGTTGAAATCATCCCTTTTGTCATACAGCCTTGTGGCGAGTTTTTGTCACTCTGAATCTATATGCATAGATCTGTATATGAAACATCAGAGGCGGCCTCACTTGTCTCCTGATACAGATATCATTTAACGTGACTTAGTGCATTCAGTGTAACATATGATAATGGCCCGCCTCAAACGACTGTGCAACAAGTACCTTCAAATATTTAAACAATTATATTCTCCTAAAAAATATTGTCTTAATCTGATGAATATAATAACTCTAGAATCAAAGTAAACGAACATGTCAAGCCACAAATTATTAATTTAGTACTTAAATGCTCAAACCAGCATATATCATATCTAATCCTGGCTCATCGCAACAGGTCCAAACCGGATAAACACACGTAGCAGCATGCATTTTCAGCAGGATATTAGCATAAGAAATAGGCCCTGTACGGAATTGACAGAAGCTGTTGCCACACCTTTCCTGCTCAGTATAAAAACTCAAGGTCTAGTGGCAACACACCATTGGCGCAGACCTATCTCGTCTCAGTCATCAGAGCATTGAACATGAACAAGCTGATTCTCCTGTCGTTTTTGTTTGCAAGTGAGTAGATGTTTGTCATAATACTTTGTATTATATACTACCCATCACTAGTGTGATGTAGCCACTTACTTCAGTCAACTGTTCTAAACTAAAGTTTGCAAAATATGCCATACTGTTTAAAGGTACTGTTTACACATGAACTGATGTATTGTAAATTTGTAACGTTGAAAAGATTATTGTCATGAGTTCAATAATTGATGAAAATTGGCGAATTCTTAGCAAAACTTTTCACCAAAACGCAGCTGTTCACATGCACGATATATTTGCACATGATTTTCAGCAATTTGATGCATGATCACCGTGCAATTCATCTGCATAAGGTTTGCAGTTGGTTCCCCACAAGTTAGGGGAGAAATTCATCTTCGATGTAACCATATATATACATAACATATAGTGAGTGTTTTAAGTGAGTCTAAACCTTTGATGGGTAGTATATGTGGTTAAACTTTGTGAACCTTGCACGTTATCACCTGGTGGCGTGCCATTGTGTGAAGTAACATTAATATTATGCCCCAAAGTGATTCCAGCTAGGTAATACACATGGTACATATTTGAACAAGTTTGCACAAACAAGCACTAATCACATAAAAAGCCACAATGATTCGCCACGATGATATATTACTGAGGTTTCACTATTTTCTTACACCTGCAGCACGATTGTCCAAATCCAGTTCGGATTTAGTAGTACCCTTGAAATGTTGTATGGTAGAGATTTGTCTTTTATCTTTTATAATAATTATGCAACTTAATTTTATTTCTCACGGGTTACCACTGTATTTGACTAAGAATAAATTCTAAACTCACACGCGTATCCATACTGATCATAACTATTTTATCTATTATGCATACGAAATGAAATGAAAGTTAGAAAAATAGAAAATGTGTATTAACATATTAAATATATTAATATATAATATATCCTACTAGGGGTGTAAGATAATCTATGCAGGTAGACAGCTAAATGCTATGAATTTTGAGAAATCGTTTCTTTTTCTCTTTCGCACCTGTTTGAATGACTGTGTATATGGGCCTGTGGCCTTCATAAGTAATAATGAGTGAGTTCAGTTTTACGCCGCTTTTAGCAATATTCCAACAATATCACGGCGGGGGACACCAGAAATGGGCTTCACACATTGTACCCATGTGGGGAATCGAACCCGGTTTTTCGGAGTGACGAGGGAACGCTTTAAGCACAAGGCTACCCCGCCGCCCCTCATTCGTAATAAAGATGATGATGATGATGTTGAACTAACGTGTTTGTCAATTTTCCAAGAAGTTAACATGGGCATTTCCTTCTCTAGCATCAGGACATATGAACAGTATGGATTTCCAAATTATCATATGTCCGTTCAAATCGTGCATGTGTTGTAAAGAAATACAATATTCAGAGAGAATCCAATGTGATGGGAATTAGTATACTGGTAATGTGATATCTAAAGCTATTACGTGTAAGTGACAGATGCTTTTATGTAAGTCATTGAGGAATGCACACTGAGTCACAGATAGTATCGATATCGGGAACATGTACAATGTACGTCTTCTATATATTGTCATCAGATGTGTCATACATTTGTTAACCGGCACTTTTCAGTAGTATTTAAAAATTCATCCACGAGTACTATCCCTTCGAGAATCTACGAACAAAAAAAACACAAACAAAATCCATTTGAATGCCTCATCACTTAAAAGACCTTTACAGATAATTGCTAGCACAATAAAGGGTTATAATTATCATGGAACCATTTTCAGGTTGAAGAAGAACTAGAGAACTTTGATATATGCCGTTGTGATAAGATGAATATGAGCTCCAGGAGTGCCAACATTGCGTTTTGCGTTCCCTTAAATTCATTGTTAGGTAACGGACAGTTGTGTAAAATTCTTTAGAAAAACTAAATCTGCTCTCAATTTAGCGTACAACGAAATGAAATATTGTCAGCTCATTTGTATTTCGGTGACTGGTTGTAGCTTGATATCGACCATCATTGCTGCTGATTCCCTTTAACTGTTAGTAAACCACTTTTGCAAGAAGTGCCAGATTGCAGACAGGCGTATCCACGGCTTTTATCCAACAGAGATACGAAAATCATCATCTATGGTCAGCCGGCGCTTTTTGAAGAAAGTATATTCCGTAAAAGTATATATATGTTTAGTCGTATGGCCAACCAGGACTCAGTCTGGTTCAGTCTGTATCCTGCCTGTTTTTTCATTCGCACCAGATGTAACGTACGACACACATGTTTTAAAAACCGTACTTTGGCCTTGAAAGTTGTAACCCTTTCATGATCTTTGAAACCTTCGTACCGGCTGAAATGTTGCTTTACAATAAGAGAAAGTTATCAGCTGATATCATACAACCCTGTGGAGAGTTTATTGTCACTCTGGAACTATAAAATGGTAGTGCCGTTCAAACTAGGCATTAGACTCATTATCTCTCTGACAAACGGGGAGGGGTAGGGTAGCCTAGTGGTTAATGCGTTCGTTTGTCATGCCGAAGACCCGGGTTCGAATCCCCACATGGGTACAATGTGTGAAGCCCATTTCTGGTGTCCACCCAGATATTGCTGTAATATTGCTAAAAGCGGCGTGAAACCATACTCACTCACTCACTCTTTGGCAAACCGTTATAATGTTAGAAACATACACATTTAATTGAGGAGTAGAAAATAATCCCGTTTGTATAGATACAATTTACAATGATTTATCACTAAAACTGAAACCGTGAATAAAATGTGTTAAAGCACCGAGCCGTCGAAAATTCCTCGAGTAGAGTTGCTTCCCTTGGGCACGCCAGAAACCGATGATCGTCGGTCGCACCATACCTCTTTTCGTGGGTTTCAACAATGTGGTAAACGTCTAAACCATACGTCATTTAAGATTACCTCCCACGTTAAGCCTCTGCGATATAACTAAAACAAGAAACACAACAAACGCACTCACTCACTGTTAACGCACACGCATGAGAACATCAGAAATTGTACCACAAAAAGAATTAAATTCTATAGTTCCACATAATTAATATCATTACAATCATATTTCATGCATCACAAACAAAATCGTTTTTGTCATTTACACTTAAGCGAACATACTGCAAATGAGGATAATAAAAATATATACATGACGCATTTGCACTAGCCTCCCGCTGCACGCACTCATACGCATTGTGTATTTGAAGATTGAATTGACAAATTCGTGTGGGTGAGTTTTACGCTGCACTCAGCAATAGTCCAGCTATATGGCGGCGGTCTGTAAATAAGCGAGTCTGGACAAGACAATCCAGGGATCAACAGCATGAACATCGATCTACGCAATTGGGATACGATGACATGTGTCAACCAAGTCAGCGAGCCTGACCACCCGATCCCGTTAGTCGTCACTCATGACAAGCATGGGTTACTGTAGGACAATTCTAACCCGGATCTTCACGGGTTGGGTGAGTAAGTGACTTTTACGCCGCAATGTTCCAGCTATATGGCGGTAAACTTCGTGTGGTTATGAAAGATAATGCATAATGCAAGACAGACCATACTCACAACGAACACAGGCTGCCATACTAACTGCCTCATGTTTCCTTGTGATGTTTATTAAGTACTCTGCAAATAATGGCCGGAATATGTTTGTATTCAAAGTGTTTGGAATCTCTTGTAAACTAGTAATTTCATAGGATTATAGCCCGTGACGTGTTTTGTTTATAATTCAATATCTTCATTTATTGTTGAAATGTTCAGTTACATGTACATAGCTAGGTCAGTGCGCAACTAATATTCTTCCATTGTAATACTTGTTACATGTTGGCAGTGTAAACTGATCAGCAATTATTCATGATGTTTGACTAAAGCTGAAGTTTGAATTTCTACGATTATGGCTTCAACAACGGCTAAGATATGTAATAATGTACAATGAAGATCACTAGATAATCAGTAATCCCGTTAGGTAGAAAAATAGATGCTAAATGTAAGATGTATTGTTTGCAAATTGTGTGTTTTGTTTGTTTGTTTGTTGTTTATCTCTCAGCTATATTCCAGCTATATGGCGACAGTCTGTAAATAATCGAGTCTCGACAAGACAATCCAGTGATCAAAAGCATGCGAATTGATCTACGCAATTGGGATATGATGACATATGTCAACCAAGTCAGCAAGCCTGACCACCGGATCCCGTTAGTCGCCTCTTACGACATGGGTTACTGAAGATCAATTCTTGCCCGGGCTTATTGTGTGTATACACAATACTACACGTAATGTTCCTTCCATAGATATAATGTTCTTCTGATGGTACAAATAAAGCAGATTTTCCCAGATACATTGTGTTATTTATGCCCTTGCATCATTTATATTGTATCATTGTTCGTCATGTTCTTGTTTTTTGCAGTATGTATTGCAATTACATATGCAAGCGAACACCATCGTGGAAGAAGTCACCGCCGGGAAAGCAGAAGCGTTGTCCACCTTCGTCACGGTCACCGTCACCACCGCAGTGACCATCGTCACGGCCACCGTCACCATCGCACTGAACATGGACGTCGTCGCTACAGTCGCAGTGAACATCGGCGTCATAGTTCAGGTGGACACCGTCATCGCCGCGAAGGTTATGGCCTTAAACGAAGGTCTCCAGAAGTCCACCACCACCGCCGTTCAGTCTCCAGGAGAATTTCCTATGACACTACCACCAGCAGCCCGGAACACATCCATCATCATTACTTCGAAAAGGACGACGAGGACACCAAGAAAGACGTCGTGGAAAACACAGAAAGCAGCGACAGCAGCTTCAGTAGCAGCGAAGAGACCATTATCCATCACCATCACCACTCCCTGCCAAAGTCTTACTCTTCATCGGATTCCGGCAGCTCAGACAGCTCCGGCTGCGGCGGATCTTCAGAGTCTTCTGATACGTCATCAGAGGATTTCCCCGTCCCGATCCCTATCCCCATCCTCAAAGGCGGCGGTAGTGGAGGCAGTCACAGCAACTACCTTCCTATCGTTCTGACCACAGCTGGCTAGGCACGACAATGATTGACTGGCCTCTAAGTCCACGTACGTCTTCCTTTATACACCTATTTTGTCTTTCTAAGCCATTAATACATTTTCTTGCAATTTTGTGAAACTAAAATAAAACATTGAAACGAGAATTATCATATCTGACGACCATAACGTTACAGTTCAGGTCAGTATTTCTATTCACACTTGAACATGTACGCACATGTTGTCCATGCACGATTGTTTCGACAAATGTTAAAAGTTATTGAGGTTGCATATGTGTGCGTTTTAGCAGCTATCTTAAATACGTATTTGTCTTAAGTATTCCCAGGAGCGCAGAAGACACAGATGTCTACGCCACCGCTTTTCCCTGAGCGGATTTACAACCTTCGGCAGCTTGGAGCCGAAATCATTTTACACCTCCCTATACTAACTTGCACAAGGTGGTATCAGTAGTATTATAAAAATATTGTCCCAAATGCACTCTGTAAGGTTACGGCCTTTGTCTGAATAATGAAAATAATATGAATTAATTGGATGCAGTCAGATTAACGTTGAAAGATGGCACTGGAAAAGTATTTTGGTAATGTTTTTCTGCAGGTATCGTATTATTGTCAGCAAAAATATTTTAATTGTTATTTACTGTATGTTTGTATGATGCCACCTGGACATTGTATATTGCATTTCATTTTATACTTTTCAGTAAAATTGTCTTCCCGTACAATTATAGTATTTAGTATTTTTTGTTTTGCATGTACCTTCTTTTACACATTAGTCAATTCATCAGAATGAAGACGTAATAAATATTCTAAAATTTCAAATGATTTTCTTGTAATTTTGAGTAATGGGATCTTATTGCATGTAGCAGATGGAAATTATGTCATTTTAGACAATCTAGTAACTGCCTCCGCGGTCAATATCCCCGCAGTGAGTAATGAAACACATTATCAGTTAGGTGATACATCGTGAGCATCTGATCTTCATTTGTCGGCACTTACTATAAACATGTTGGAGTTGGTCACTGCTACGAGTGGATTATGAAGATCAGTTCTGACCAGGATCATCATGATGATCAATTCTACACATACTACCTGTGATCATCAGTTGTACACATTGTACCTGTGATCATCTGTTCTGCAATTACTACACGTAGTGGTCAATTCTACACCTCCTACGTGTGGTGATCAGTTCCACATATCGTTCCTGTGGTAATATTGTACATGTATACACATACTACTTGTGTTGATCAATTCTGCACATATTACCTCTGGTGATCAGTTCTACAAATAGTATCTGTGATGATCAATTCCACACATAGTACCTGTGGTGATCAATTCCACACACAGTACCTGTGGTGATGAATTCCACACACAGTACCTGTGGTGATAAATTCCACACACAGTACCTGTGGTTATGAATTCCACATACAGTACGTGTGGTGATCAATTCTACACATAGTACCTGTGGTGATCAATTCCACACATAGTACCTGTGATGGTCCATTTTACACATAGTACCTGTGGTGATCAATTCCACACATAGTACCTGTGGTGATCAATTCTCCACACACAGTACCTGTGGTTATGAATTCCACATACAGTACCTGTGGTGATCAATTCTACACATAGTACCTGTGGTGATCAATTCTACACACATTACCTGTGGTGATCAATTCCACACACAGTACCTGTGGTGATGAATTCTACACATAGTACCTGTGGTGATCAATTCTACACATAGTACCTGTGGTGATCAGTCCTACACATGGTACCTGTGGTGATCAATTCCACACATAGTACCTGTGGTGGTCCATTCTACACATAGTACCTGTGGTGATCAATTCCACACATAATACCTGTGGTGATAAATTCTACACCTAGTACCTGTGGTGGTCAATTCCACGCATTCTACCTGTGGTGGTCCATTCCATACTTAGTACCTGTGGTGGTCCATTCTACACATAGAAACCTTGGAGATCAGTTGTACAGATACTACTTGTGGTGATCAATTCCACACATAGTATCTTTGGTGATCATTCTACACATAGTACCTGTGGTGGTCCATTCTACACATAGTAACTGTGGTGATCAATTCTACACATAGAAACCGTGGAGATCAGTTGTACAGATAGTACCTGTGGTGATCAATTCCACACATAGTACCTGTGGTGATCAATTCTACACACAGTACCTGTGGTTATGAATTCCATATACAGTACCTGTGGTGATCAATTCTACACATAGTACCTGTGGTGATCAATTCTACACACATTACCTGTGGTGATCAATTCCACACACAGTACCTGTGGTGATGAATTCTACACATAGTACCTGTGGTGATCAATTCTACACATAGTACCTGTGGTGATCAGTTCTACACATAGTACCTGTGGTGATCAATTCCACACATAGTACCTGTGGTTGTCCATTCTACACATAGTACCTGTGGTGATCAATTCCACACATAATACCTGTGGTGATAAATTCTACACCTAGTACCTGTGGTGGTCAATTCCACGCATTCTACCTGTGGTGGTCCATTCCATACTTAGTACCTGTGGTGGTCCATTCTACACATAGAAACCTTGGAGATCAGTTGTACAGATACTACTTGTGGTGATCAATTCCACACATAGTATCTTTGGTGATCATTCTACACATAGTACCTGTGGTGGTCCATTCTACACATAGTAACTGTGGTGATCAATTCTACACATAGAAACCGTGGAGATCAGTTGTACAGATACTACTTGTGGTGATCAATTCCACACATAGTATCTTTTGTGATCATTCTACACATAGTACCTGTGGTGGTCCATTCTACACATAGTACCTGTGCTGGTCCATTCTACACATAGTACCTGTAGTGATCAATTCTACACATGGTACCTGTGGTGATCAATTCTACACATGGTACCTGTGGTGATCAATTCTACACATAGTACCTGTAGTGATCAATTCTACACATACTACCTGTGGTGATCAATTCTACACATGGTACCTGTGGTGGTCCGTTCTACACATACTACCTGTGGTGATCAATTCTACACATAGTACCTGTAGTGATCAATTCTACACATACTACCTGTGGTGATCAATTCTACACATGGTACCTTTTGTGATCATTCTACACATGGTACCTGTGGTGGTCCATTCTACACATACTACCTGTGGTGATCAATTCTACACATAGTACCTGTAGTAATCAATTCTACACATAGTACCTGTAGTGATCAATTCTACACATAGTACCTGTGGTGATCAATTCTACACATAGTACCTGTGGTGATCCATTCCACACATAGTACCTGTGGTGATCAATTCTAAACATAGTACCTGTGGTGATCAATTCTACACACAGAACCTGTGGTGATCAATTCTACATATAGTGCCTGTGGTGATCAATTCTACATATAGTACGTGTGGTGATCCATTCCACACATAGTACCTGTGGTGATCAATTCTACATATACTACCTGTGTTGATCAATTCTACAAATAGTATCAGTGGTGATCAGTTCCTCCTAGGTCGCCATAGTTATGAGTTCTGTGTCTTTTGTACTTTAAATCAAAAGTTTAAATGATATCACTTTGATTAATAATATCAGCCAGTTTGATTAATTACATCAATCAAATTGGGGATATTGCGTATTTTTCACTATCTTTTATTTCATGGAACATTGATGTATGGGGCGTTTAACAACAAAACATAACAGCAGAAGTTGAGTGATACGTATTTTATGCAGTGGGGATACAATGCAACAACACAAAGTACATGAATTCACTGCTTGAACTTTATGCTGACCCGTTTTGAACCACCAAAGTTGATCGCCTCTGTAATGCAAGAATATTAACACCATGTAGTACGGTAATATTTGACTCAATAAATTAATGTTCAGTAAGACGTAATATGACAACAGCACTGGAGCGTTTGCAGTAGAATACCCCTTTTACTGCCCATATATCCATGTAGCTGGAATAGTGCTGAGTGCGGCGTAAACATAAACTCACTCTCTCACTACCCATATATACAAGCGACCCTTATTCTGTGATATTTGGAATAAACAACGCATTTGCTTTCATTTTGAACTGACTATCTAAAAAGAAGATAGTGTAAAATATTATGCTTACCCCGTACTTCCATTTTCGGCGAGGGAGGTGCTAGTTCAATCTCCCTGAATAGAGCTAACGATTGGCTGAAGAGAACTGCGGTCGTGAGAGAGAGAAAAGGAGAAAAGTTATTATTCTGTATAGAAAGGGTGCATAATATCGTTGTTTTAATAGTGATCCTATATATGATACAGCGATGAATTAAACGCTATCGTGAGAGACTGACAAACACATGCAAAGGCAAATCAATCAAACCGAAAAGGACACAGAAACACATACACGTCAAACTGAGGAATTGCATCGGAATCATACTTACCACTTATGCGTCATATTTTGAAATGCCTTTCACATCTCAGACATGAAACTTTCTGAAAAGCTTTACTGTGTATTATTATGAATATTATTACTGAAAACATAACCAAATCAGGCACAGTTGAACAATAAGGTGACAAAAGTTGAAACCTGTTTAAGTTTTAAGAAGCTTTTCAAAATTATCGAAGAAAGGACATGCTCTGCTGCCCCACCTTGGCATTGGAAATGTAAGGTCGTCCCTCTTGTCATACAGTCTTGGGGGCGGTGGGGTAGCCCAGTGGTTAAGGCGTTCGCTCGTCACGCCAAAGAACCGGGTACGATTCCCCACAAGAGTACAATGTGTGAAGCCCATTTCTGGTGTCCCCCGCCGTGATATTTGCTGGAATATTGCTAAAAGCGGCGTAAAACCCAACTCACGTATTCACTCACTCACTCATACAGTCTTGTGAAGGGTAAAACATGTGAAAGACATCTTACGGCTGATTGGACTACACAGTCTGGACGACATATTTACTGCACAACATCACACAACAAAACATTACATTTGGTTTTAAGATAATGTGACTGACTGACTTACTGACTGAGTTTAGTTTTACGCCGCTTTTTTAGCAATATTCCAGAAATATCACGGCGGGGGACACCAGAAATGGGCTTCACACATTGTACCCATGTGGGGATTCGAACCCGGGTCTTCGGCGTGACGAGCCAACGCTTTTACCTCTAGGCTAACCGCCGCCCAAAATAAGGTGAATAAAAACAAACATACCCAACATGAAAAGTGAGAAAAATGTCCACTGCATGATGTTATATGTTGATCGTCGACGACTGAATAAAAAACCGGTAATGAGAATGAAGTCAAGTTGATTTATATATAAGGACATCTCCGTCCACTACACAGCTCAACAATGTGAGAAGAACGTCATATGAGAGTCTTTTTCCTGTTGAATATCGATAATCCGTCCTTATCCCACCGGGTTCAATGGCTGGACGCTGGGATAGCCGCTGGAACATTCACAAAGCTATTAGCTACTTGCTACTGGAATGCAGAACTACATTCAGTATGTGATTAAACATTGTATATCAAACACAAAGAAGGAATAGGGCTATACCACGTGTTACCGTATCGTAAATATCATATATTTGGAAATAATCGTACTGTGTAAGCAGCGTTCGATATTAACGTCGGTCCTTGGGCCCGAAGCCGACTGAAAACCACTCGGGACCACAGCTTTTGTTTTCTGCAGGTCCTTATGGCCGAAAGTTTTTTCAACCCCGATAACTAAGAGCATTATTTCCATATTAAAATATGGGACCTACACACTCTGATCAGGACCCACAACGTTCTGGATCCTTAGGGCCTGCAGCTTTTCAGGGTTAAGGGCAAACACTGTGTATTTACCCCTGTTAATGGTGGATAAATATGGAACAGACAAGGAATGGTTCGTGGTTTAAAAATGTAATTTGGTCAAGAAGTTTTACTCAAGCTTCAGGTACATCGGTGAACTAATATATTTCAATAACCATCAATACTTGGAGCCAGTTCTATCTTGAATGGTCATAACAAACGTGCATCAAGAAGAGCCAGTATATAGAACCACAAACTGGAAGAGACCAGCCGGGATATTTTCCTGAATCATTGTTGGCCATACGGTAGACATGTGGAGAAAATTTCAAAATGTAATGCTTCTGTGGCAAAAATGATGTCCGTTGTAATTCACTATTTTCTTCTCAGATGTACAATTGACTAGCCGTTGCATATGTTTATGGCGGGTTGCAACGGTGGGACAGGATACGCTCACCCTTTCGTGAACACCTGGTATCGTCACTATTTTGAAAGCGATTCATACACACATGCATGATTATGACGGATATTGTTCAAGGGACTCTGCTTAAAGCCTTGGTTTTATATGGAAGTGGAAGGGGTTTTGCCGCTTTTAGTTATTTGACAGTGAAGGATTTGATTCAGGCGGTACAGCTGTTTTATGAAAGTTGACAGTGTTGCGACGACTGTTTTCAGGCTAGTAACGAATAGATGAATGTTGTATTATTCGTCTGTCCATTGTTGTCTATTATTGTGTATATGTTTATATCTATATTGTTACCAGTCCGGTATTCCGACTGTCTGTGTAGGGACGACCGTGAGCAGGATAATGCCGCTCGTAGGAAACGCCTGGGTTTGAGCAGGAACCCTGCTCACCTTTTGTTTAAGCGGGCAACCCAGTTCATTATTGTCGTCTGTATTGGTATTCTACAGCCAACTAAAGAAGTTTGAACTCAACGTATTCTTTCGTCTACGTCAACGAATAATTTTGAAACAAAAAACAGACCCAGACCCACCCCCATGACTGGACAGAGTTGCTCCATCGCTTACGTTGTCGTTGATGCAAACATCTCAAAGCAGGAACAAAACCGAATTAGTTCCGGGTTTTATTCTCCTCTCGAAAACGATAACCGATTGTTAAGAACGATACCCTTCTCAAACCAAGCGCATGTCCTCAATGGCAGTAGACGAAGCCCGGATAAAGTGATCTCATGTATCGGTGGTCTTCCACTTCTCTTACCATATTTAGTTTAATTGAGACTGGAGCACCGGTACAGATCCCAGGATATAGTGTTCTGGTGTACGTTGAAATATGATGTAACGTCTCCCCTGGTGAAGAAGTCCTTTGGTGATGGTGTGATTGGCAGCATTCAGTCTCGGTATGTTCCCACTTCAATTTTGGACAAATATAGCAAATATTGACTGATATCTGACCTTTTACAGTCATTATCTCAGCGCAAGACTGTCACAACTTGTACGTAAATTCTGCTTTATATTTCCTTTCCATGACATTTTCGCGCAGTTAAAAATTGCCGTATAAAGTAACAAAAATTTAAATGGTTGCATTTGTGCACCAAAACATAAAATGAACACATGACTATCATTGTTCAATCACAAATATTGTATTTTTATTGCGTACTTCATGAATAAACAAAATATAAAATTGTCATTTGATTAGATTCGGTGCATTTCTTTCGGATGTGTTATTGGATTTCAGATCATACTGCCTGTGGTACAAATAGCTTGTCTGAAAGCAACCACACCAAATACGTAATTCTTGCATATATGGTTAACTAATGTTGACCACAGCTGTGCACGCTGTTTCGAAGAGTGTACACTTATGTTTGTGAGAGAAACGTTTTTGCAAGGCAAGATGGTTTTATTTTATAATTCACGAAATATGTAATTATTCTTCATTGTGGCTTTTTTTATCACAAGTATCCATACCCTGTCTTCGTTTACGTACGTATATTTGGTGAATTGTGGAACCAGATTTCTGATTTTATGTAATTTAATGACGAATGTTGAGGCGCCGCAATTCGACGTGCAAAGTTGCGTCCCTTGCCCCCGCCAGGATTTATAGAAATCTGGAACCAAAACGGTTTCTCCTGTCAGGTTTGGTTGACTGCATGTCACAGGACTCGACAAGTTTCGCGTTGCTGTGATAGAGTGAGTGAGTATGATTTTACGCCGCTTTTAGCAATATTCCAGCAATATCACGGCGGAGTACACCAGAAATGGGCTTCACACATTGTACCCAAGTGGGGAATCGAACTCGGGCCTTCAGTGTGTCGTGCGAACGCTTTACCAACTGGGCCACCCCATCGTCCCTTGCTGTGATAGAGCTGGCATGCTGCTGTGTCACTGGGTCATTCTCGTTCACCCAGCAGCTTTTGTTCTGGGGCTCCAGATTAGTGGAGCGAGGTAATCCCCAAGAACAAAAGTTGAGCTTTTTATTTTGTTCCCTGTGAAATTTGGCCTCATACACTCTTGTCGCCGCGCAAAATGGTTACTGTGTTATTTGGTCTTGTAAGCTTTGGAATTTAAGAAACCACTGACATAATATATATCCAACATATGTATTTATAGATGATATTTTACATGATATTTTACATGATATTTTGTAGCCAGTGAGACGAGATACACTGACTGACTGACTGAGTATGGTTTTACGCCGCTTTTAGCAATATTCCAGCAACATCACGGCGGGGGACACCAGAAATGGGCTTCACACATTGTACCCATGTGGGGATTCGAACCCGGGTCTTCGGCGTGACGAGCCAACGCTTTAACCACAAGGCTACCCCACCACCCCCGAGATACACCATCTGTGTACTCAATCGCAATCAGTTCACTGGCTTGAAAAGTCTGGCCTTGAAGGTGCGAAGTCTATTGTCCACCTCGATGTACCGCCTCTTTCTTGGTGGTGTACCAGTCTGAACATACATTGACTTATTCCATGTGTCGGGGCGGTGGGGTAGCCAAGTGATTAAAGCATTCGCTTGTCACGCCGAAGACCAGGGTTCGATTCCCCATATGGGTGCAATGTGTGAAGCTCATTTCTGGTGTCCCCCGCAGTGATATTACTGGAATAATGCTAGAAGTGGAGTAAAACCATACCCACTCACACATTATTCCATACGTCGCTTCCATGCTTCCATATAACTTTATATATATTCTCCCTGTTTCGGATCACATGGTTGTATTCCACTGTGGCAATGGGAACCTTATTATGAAATCTACAACAATACCAAACCTCCAAGACCAGTCTTCTGTGTCAAATTAACAATCGAATAATTGATCCAATTGACTACTCTGCCTAAACATCTAAACGATTAAATGCAATATGTCACGGACGAATTATTAAAAACACTTATTATATCACAACACTAATGTTGAGAGTTCAAAAAGATATATCATGACTCATAGTTAATTATACGTTGTGATTATGTTGAAATGCCCTAAG